GGGAAAGTGCCAGTGTGAGCCTCTTCGAAGGAGAGGTAATGCGCTTGTGATATATGAAAGAAAATCTAGCAGATTCTTGATGTCGCTGTTCGTAAATCCTAATTCTAAAAAGGAAGATCCCATCAAAAGTAAGGCCAGCGCTTTCCATTATGAGTAAACACCGGTGGAGAAAATCAAGTGCGATCTTTTCTCTAATAAAAAAGCATAAAAGGTTGAGCTACAAGTTTCTCAAGTCTTTCTGCACTATAGAAAAAATCTCCCAGAAACTCCTCTCTTTTTTGGTGAAGTTGAAGTCATGAAATGTTGTTTTGGTTTACTCTTCCGCAGCTCTTATGCAACAACATCTGCCAGGCAGTTCCATTTGCGAGAAGATGTTAATGCAGAAGCAGATACTTGAGATCCGGATCAACTCCTTTCTCGCCTGTCCAAATGGGTATCGCAGCTGCATTCTCTCCTGCTCGGTAGAACACCTCTCCAGGATTTGCAAACAGTAGAATATTATCTAAATACTTTGCAATTATTCCGCCGTAATATAATCAAAGAAGCGTTTACATGGGATGTATATCTCTTTGTGAGGGTTCTACTTTCATCACAAGCGCACTTTCAGCCTATGACTACGCGTAATAATAATAGGTTTTTAATAGGTTGTAGTTGTAGTGGGAAAACCACTTCGCCGAAATTCAGTTTCTTTTTGCCGCAAATTAATTTGAACACACCTGGAAGACACTCTAGCACCTCTTCAGAACTAAGTCCCATTTCTGTGGCAGCAGATATGATCAGCTGATCGGTAAATCCATTTACCTTTGACCGCACAACGCGATGCTGCTCATCTGAATTTTTAAGTTCTCCGCCACATCACAGATGCGAACACATGTTAGTAACCTTTTGTCGGATCGTTCAGTTCCCATTTGTGTTCCCGAAAACGACATATCAGAAAATTAGCAAGCTGGCAGGTAAAAAGGCTTGCCTGACATTTGATTGAGCAAAAGGAGAAGTGGTGTAGTTTGAAGAATTTAGGAAACTCACAGGGCGACGTGGTAATCTTCCAATAAGGTATTTTGCAAGGAAGTTGACCAGCTCCTTGACCTCGGTGTACATCGAGGTTAAAATGAATGTACGAACCTTTATAGCTCGGAATGCGTGGCTGACATGTGTAATCGTGTAATGACAAGCTCAACAGCTTTTGACTTACGATTTACGGGTTGAAACTGGATCAACTCGTATGTGTCATTACCAAATTAATGCTTGTTTTTCTCTTATGTCACTATTATTAAACAACGTATTCATTTTTCAGAAGGAACATCTGCTCAAAATGTTTTATCTTACCTTATTTTGGACGCCTTATACGGTCGTGCTCCTTTGTTGAAGTGCATTTACCCTCAGAAGCCTGCGCAAGGCAAGCTTTGCCAGAAATCTCACCCACACAAAAAATGATTGATAGTGGGAATAGCATCGAACATGAATTAAGGCTCTTTCAAACGTGAGTTTGCAGCGTCACAGCTGTCCTTTGCTGATTACTTAACAAAATTCATTTTCTGTAAACTGCAATAAGCAAATCGGAGACGCTACTCTCATAGAAATATCCTGTGCCCTGTTTGCCTAGAAACTATTCATAAATTCATTCAAAGCGTTCAAAGTGAAGAGGGTGTCTTTGGGGTGAAGCAAGCGCTGATTTGCACTACAGGTGATGGCTCAACCAAAACGCTTATCTGCACCGTCTCCTCACAAATATTCAACTAGACGAGTTACCTACAATACAATAGCAG